TAATCCAAATTATTTTTCATTTACATAAAATCTAAAATAGAAAAATACTTCAAACTTTATGCTTCTCTAAGAAGTCTCTGCTTCGAGTCTTCTTTCCTTAGCTTCTGCTCCGAAGCTCTAGTTCCTTCACAGGAACTCTTTAGCTGATCTCTTTGACTATTTAGCTCCTTGAGTTCCTTTGCCTTGAGTGATTCCTGTAACTTATGAACAGACTACAAGACTGACAAAATACATTAGTCCACTTGTTTGACTTGTGTTATCATCAAAACATCAAGGGCAACATGCTAGTACTTGTGTAATTGCAGTAGGTGTCTATGCAATAATGTGCAATAAAATTTTGCTGGCTAATTACGATGGAAATAAAATGAAATTGAATAAGAATATGAATATAATGAACAACTTTAGGCATTCTTATTTCTTACTCTTTTATTTTCTATATCACATTACAAAGTTTAGAATTAACGAAAATATATATATGCACATTAGATGAAGTTAGACGGTTCTACATGTATTAGGTGTAGACACTGGCGTGTTTGGAATTAATCTACAAGACATTTATTGAACTTAGAAAAGTAAAATGCTACAAGTATGTACTACATATAAAAGTGTAAAAGTCAAAAGAGAGGTAGACAGTGTGTTGACTAGTAATTGCCTTGGCATGGCACGTGGAATGTCAATGCCTTTTATTTACAACCCCCTGTATATTGAAATACGTGCACCTAGGCTAGGTTTTTTTAATTTAAATTTTTTTTGCTCATTTAAATATTTTACAATGATCTAGTAATATTAAATGAGTAGAAAATATCCTAAGGTGTTATTTCTTGCACCTGTTTGTAGATAAACTTTTTTAAATGATACGTAAGTCATGTTTTCACCTCATACAATATTTAATTGAAAGACTATACTCTACTCCGTCTTAATTGTTAGTGTATGCGTCTTGTAACTATTTTAAAATATAAATTAATCCTTAACCTGTGTATCCTTCAAAACTTGTGTAATTTTTTTTGTACAAAAAGAATAATAAAAGTTTTAATCCTTACAATTATGTAAAATGTAGTATACGAGCGTATGACTTTCTACCCAATATCACAACTCACTTTGCTGATGGAATACTCCGTATTATATTCATCTGTACTTTTAACTTTATTTATTTATTTTTTGAAACAACTAAACTTTAATTATTATTCAGTAGTTAGTAATTATTAATTAACTAATATGGAGTAATATTAATTATTGATATGAGCTGAGAAGAAAAATTTAGCTCAAAAGAATAGGGCCTAAGAAACCAAATTTCAATGATATATGGTTTCTTATGTTTGTTGCCACTATTATGGTACGAAATTTGTATTGTAGAGAGTCTAGAGACAATAAACTTATTCTTTCATCATTATTGACACCTCGATGATGGAAAGCAGAAGCCGCTAAAATTTAAGTTTAAGAAAAATTTAACAATTTATTAGCGTATGAGATAATCCTCATACATATATATAGGTGAAGTACAAATTTATTTGCATAGATCCATTTTTTTTACCATGGTTTTCGTCTCCCAAACAAGAAATAGATCTAGAATCATACTGCAACAGCAATAACAAACAGAAATGTTGAGACTGTGATTAGGGTGGCAGTCTTCCCCGTGTTGCTTACCTTTCCTACAAAATCAAGTCGAAAATTAGCATAATTCAATTCTTTCGTTAGTAATACTTGCACCAATATGACTTTTGTACTCCGTATTATTTATACTTTGTATATATATTTCATATACTTCGTAGCATTCCAAGATAAAATATAATTTAAAGGATAATTTCATATACTTCGCAGCATTCTCCTACTATAAGGTATACACAAACATTTAAAAAATTCAATGTACAATAAAATATTGTACATTCGCTATAAATTTACTTTAAAATGAAAAAAAAAATTACTTTTTAATGAATGAAAGTTACTCAGTATATATAAGGAAAATGAAAGTTATTTATGCTTTATCGATAAAAGTTATTCCATAAAAGTTACCCTAAATTCAATAAAAGTTACCCCGATATACAGTAAAATTAGGCCACAAGAATTAACTTACCACTAGAGTGGGTGAATTCATCTGTTGGTGATGGTATTGGTGGTTCTGATGGTTGCGAGGATGGTGGTGCGGGAAGTGTTGACATATCGAAAAAAGGATGAACATCGTATTCAGCATAGCAGCTAGGCTGCAAAACCCTTCCAAATTGACTCACCGTAAATTTTCCAATAGCATCAACCAAGCACAAATTACAATCACTTGCGCTCAAGTCAGGTGTACACTGTCCCAACCCATATATAGTCCGAAACTTAGAAACTTTCACTAAATCTGTGGCAAATTTCTTCTGTTTCCCTCCATCAGCAGCTCTCACCGCGATCACGTTGTTCATCATGTTGTACATAAGCTCCATGAACCGGGTAGCATTACCCGTAGTATTTATGTTTCCATTGTACCACATAATCACCGCCCACGAATCATCCATCGTGTTAAAAAATGACTTGTTAGAGTACCTAACCATACACTCGTCGTACCATATAATTGCTTCTTTTCGGTTAGGACAGTAAAGGTTAGGGAGGTCCGTGGTGGTGGCCGTGGTAACACAATCTTGACACGAGCTGATATTCTGGTCTCCGCGACAAAGGAAGGGGCCATAAACAGCCTCGATGGTGTCTTTAGCATTCTCGCCGTTGCCTGAAACTGCTTGGTGAAAGCCGGTGGGGTTGGTCGAATTGGAAGAGAGAAAACGGAAGAGGGTGTTTAGATTGGCTTGATATTTGCTATTGTTATCGAACATAGTGGTGTTTGAGCAGACATAGTTTACACGGGATGTTGATTTCGATATCATAATTAGTATAATTAGCTTATGGATCATTAGTGTTACCAAAATTTGGATTATTTTTTGAGCCATCTTTATCCCTTTAATTTTGTCTAGTATATGATCTCATTGCTTGAAATCTTGAATATTATACAACATAAGTACTTGAATATATATTACACTTAAGTTTAATTTAATTTTATTTTTATTTAATTTTTGACCTAAGGTGATGGTATATATCAAATACATGGAACTATGGGTCAAACCCTTCAAATGAGTAAACCAATAATAAAAAAAAAAAATAGTATCTTGTTTTTTCAGGTGGCATCTTTGTAAGTCTTTGGTCAAGTCATAACTTTAATTCCAAATTAATAGAGTGTTCAGAGTTAATAATTATGTGTCAAGCTCTAATTGGATTGACAAGTTCTAGTCTTATGGAGTAATAGTTAAAATTGGAAATAATATGAGTAAGGAAGTAACAATTAAGTGGTTAAACAAGTTTTCTTACTTTAAGTGGTGGTCTTTTGAATTCCTTAATTTACCAAGACTAGGATTAAATTAATATAAGTGGTCTACTTACTTTTTGGTACTCCATTTGTATAATGCATTGACTCGTGAGGTTATCTCTAACGACTTGAATGTGATAAAAATATACATTATGACCTCTTCAACATCACTAATTTTTTCTTTACGTAGTAAGTAATTTTCCACTTACGGAATAAACTTTACCAAAATCAATTGATTGTTTTCAGATTTTTTTTTTTTTTTTTTTGGTGGTTTCAAAATTTTATTTTTACCATCTCTCATCTTCAATTACAAAATTTTAACCGGGAACTAGTTAGGATGCAAGAACTTGAAATTATTAGAGCATGAGCTAAATACTAAGTATCTAATTGTACTTAGAGGGAGCAACACTATAAACTATTCACACACACACACACACACACACACACACACATACACACACACACAACACACACACACACATATATATATATATATATATATATATATATATATATATATATATTTCGTTCTCAATTTACTTCCTACAATTAAAATTGCAATTTCGAAGTACTATAAAAACATTAAATCTTTTGTGATTTGTTTGATAGACAGTTATAAATGTTGGTAATAGGAAAGAATTTTAAGTGTAAATTAAAATTAACCAAATAAATTTTACATTATAATTCCCATGGTTAAGGCAATCTTATCCTCAAACATGTGTTTCTTCATGTTTTTTTTTTACCAATTTACCATCCATTACCACTTCGAAGGAAATATTATTAAGTAAAATGAATATTATTTGGGGTAGACTAGCATTTCCATGCACCATAGTTGACGGTGATTTCCCTTACAAACTTACCATTTGTTGGAATATTTGCTTCAAATTATTAGTGGTTAGTTAATTCCTAATGTATAGGAATATGCTCTACTAAGTGATTAGTGTGTGTTAGTGGAGTCTTAAGAGCTAGTATTGGATTTCGTCAGTTTATAATGTTAGCCTGATCTAATAATCATGGGATCATGTTTCTTAACTTTAGCTTACTTTTACACTATATATGTCGCTATGTAGTACATTTTATAGTGGATTGAATACATGAAAGTTTTTCGTGTAATGTTAAAATTTTATAAGATCGAATGTAATGAAGATTAATTTATCAATAATTTATAACAATTCACAAAAATTGTTTTAGGCCACTTGCGGGAATGGATCAGCCCATAATATAAGCCATTCGAGTGCAGGCCCATAATAAAATTATAACGATAGAGGTGGCTCTTTAGAGGAAAAGTCTAAGCTCATTGCCTTGAGCTGTTGAGCAAGAATCCAAGTCCTTCAATTCACGTAATATGGACTAAGGAGTTTCAATCTTGGTTTGATTAACGAGTGTTAAAGGACCAACTCAACCAAAAGCTTAAACTGATGGTTGGATCCAGGAATATGTTTTATACTCTATCACTCCCCCTCACATGAAAGACTCTTTGGACTTGAAATGTGGATGCAACACTGGCCCACCCATACCTAGCGCGAATTAATTCCACTTTGAAGGAGGGGTGGATGAGATTCGTACCCGTGACCTTTATGTCACGCTGGCTCCGATACCATGTTAAAGGACCAGCTTAACCAAGAGCTTAAACTGATAGTTGAGGCCCAGGAATATGTTTTATACTCTATCAACGAGGATCAAGTGTTGATAGTGATGCTTCGTTAATGGACTCATCAAGGCGAGGTCGTTGCTCACTTTCGAGTAGAGGATCAACCACATCATTCGATGCTAGGAAAGCAGGCTTCGATGGCACTGAAATGGTGACAGAGTGACTGTTTAGCATGAGAACAACCGATGACATGATTGGTCTTTGTGTTGCGTTCTCTTGGACGCATAACAATGCAATGTGGATGCACCTTAACACTTCATTTGTATCCGCAGCTGATATCGTTGAATCCAGCACTCTCAATGCATTTCCTTCCAGCCAATTTCTCCAAGCCTAAAAAAAAACCAAGTAAACTTTTACTAAATAAACTCTATTCAATTAAGGTTGTGTAATAGTTATAAGATATAGTAGCAATCTTTTAATTTCCCTAGCTACTTACAAAGCTTAGGAGAGTTTCTCCATTCTGTGTTTGAGAAAATTTGCTAACTTTTTGACCGCTTATGATTTCCAATATCAGCACTCCGAAGCTAAATACATCCGACTTGATGTAGAAGTTCCATGATTCACATACTCCGGAGCCAAATATCCACTTACAGAGAGCTTTTGTGGTATTAGAATATAGGACTGAAATAAGCAATGATGCAAGGTTATTAAAAATTTTATACTTACTATGTTCCGGCAATTTTACTTGTATTAATGTGTGATTGATCCACTCCAAACAATCGCGCCATACCAAATTCTGAGATCTTTGTGTTCATCTCTGCATATAGAAGCACATTACTGGCCTTTAGAGTTTAGATCACGATGGACGACTAAGAGTCGAGACTCTTCATGCAAGTATAGAAGACCACGAGCAATGCCCTCTATAATTTCAAATGCATTTATATCTAGTTGAGTTTAATATGACTATGAAAAGTAATTTCAAGTTAGGTTTGGGGTGGTTAAATTTCAAGTTGGGTTATCCTTGAGCTCTGATCAAGTTTGGGTTAGCTGGTTGGATCACTATTATATTCGATCTATGTTTGAATCACATTTCTAATTTGAATAAGATTATAAAAGTTGTTAATTATTCAAATTATCTTGTGTTGATGAGTCTGGTAGTGACTAGTAGAGTTAGGAAATGATTTGAGCAAATAGATTCAAATTCGAATAGCTTGGATAAATTAATTATTGGAATATATGAACTTGCGAATGAATTTTTGAAAAAGAACATTTTGCTCTTCAAAAAAAAAAAAAAAAAAAAAAGAAATAGATCTGAAACAATTAAATGAGAAACTATTAAATTTTCCACACGCGACCAAGAGTCAAGGTCAACCAATATGACAAGTTGGTCTTCATTCAATGAGGTCTTGTGTTCAAACCTTATTGGATGTATTTTTGGTTAACCATGACATGAAACAAAAATGTGCTAGAAGTATACGTGGCTTATTGAATGATGACGTGGCATTATGCTGGTGCAAGAATGAGATACTTGTGGCACATTGACATTTTTAGGAACGTTTTTTAATATATAAGTACATATATACTAATCTCTTTGTTTACACTTTGTTTTTAATTTACTTCTTTAATCGGCGATATCTCCAATTTTGTATTAACATATAAAAAAATTGTTTTTAAAAATAAATTGAGATGATTACGTGACTTTATAACATTTTGGTGAGATGCATTGTCAAACTCGACTTATTTAACCGGCCTAGAATAATAAATGGGTGTATCATTTGGAAGAGCCGAAGAGGAGGTAGTAAAATAGATACTACATCTATAAATTGAACCTATACAACTATATGACTACAAGTACTATATATCAAGTACAGATTGAACAAATACTACTATATGACTACAAATAGATACTACATCTACTAATTGAACAAATACAACTAAAAAAGTATTCCTTTGTCAAACAACAATTGTCTAGAAATTCACAATTTGCGTGACCCTAGCCTCCTTCCCCTACCTTTTTTTGGAGTCCGGGGAAGCAGTTTGGGTCAAAAAGTAGGCCCGCTCCCATAACCCCACGGGAGGGTAAGGCATCCAGTTAAGGATGGATGATTACGCTTCTTCACCTTTGATGCCTCCTATAACTCACTCCATTGAGTTCGTCATTCCGAACCTGGGCAAATCCATCGCCTTCCCGGATCCGGCAGGCTTTTCTAGCTCTTTCTCTTCGGCGTCTCTTCCTTCGGTCGAGCATTTCCGTCTCAGAAATCCAGTAAAGGGGGAGGTGAATCGGAAGCAGAAGGCCCTCGCTCCTTTAGTCGCTCCGGCTGCTACCCGGTTGTCCTTAGGGGCAGTGGTCAACTTATCTTTCCGGTAGTAGAAGGGAAGCTCGTTAGGTTAGCTCGTCCGGTAAGAAAAAGAGCAAGTAGTCTTCCCTCATTCCCGAGTCGCATTAGCGCCCCAACCTGGAATTCGGATTTTCGAAGGACGCGACCGCCAAAAGCGAAGGCAGCTCTCTGGGTCCCTACCGACGCTGGGGTGCGGACCAAAATGGGCCCGCGAAGCCGGTTACCGGTAGGTCTAAGTCCTTCTCTAACTAAGTTGAAAAGCAGAAAGAAGTGAAGCAAATGCAAACACTGAAGTCAGTGCCCCGTCGCGTCGCTCGTTTTAGATGGCATATACACGTCTCCGGCGGACTCTATTGCCTGCCGGTCAGCTAAACTCAACTCCGTGCCAGCAGCCGCGGTAAGACGGGGGGGCTCCCTCGGCGCGGGCCTACCGGGCTTCGCGCCTGCGGCGTTTTCGCCAGACGAAGCTCCCTGCATAGTTTTGAATAGATTCGGGTTTTCTCCCGCCCCTCTTCTAGCCCCCTTCTTTGTTACCGGGGTCGATCCCAAAGCCATAATGTCTCAAAACGAGGAAGCCGTAGAGAAAGTCTTCTTTTTTCCTTTGTCTTAAACTTCGTGTTTCGCGCCGATTAATCGGACCATTACCCCCCCCGAAGCCCCCCCGGGGGGGAAGGAACTAAGACCCGAGCGCCCAGCTTGAAAAAATTTCCAGTCTTCAAGAGCAAAAACTTTTCCTGGAGGGGGAGCTTGAGCTCAACCAATACCATAACCTTTGCAGAACGCTACCCGGTTGTCCTTAGGGAGGTTGCCCGGGGATATTAATAATAGCAACAGGGCAACCTTAGCAAGGGTGTATTAGGACTTTTAACCAGACCTGCCCCCTCCGAGGGCCAAACTCCACTTCGCTCTGCTCTAAGGGTATAGCAGCCCAGCGCCATCGTCGCTTTCAGGCGTGTTAGGAGAAACCCCTAAAGGAGCCTACCCTAACGGATTGAATATCATCATATCGGCTATGACGTTCAATAAAGGGAGGGTAAGCGGTTTCAGGGTCTACTTCTACTGGTGTTGGATTCTCCCTGCCTAAGTGGCCGATCTTAGCGTGTTAGCCGCGAAATCTCCTTGCGTCAGGCCTATCTCTCATCTTTCAGGATGGTTGAATGGATCATAGAAGGCCCAAGATGTGCTTCCAGAGAAAGACCCCCACAAAAGAGAGATATCCGCCGATGATAACGAGAGCTGTACCGCTTTTGCTTTCTTTTCCTCTGGCTACTAAGATGTTTCAGTTCGTCCACCACGACAGACTTCACTACCTCTTTGCTAAGCACATGAATGCTTGATCGAGAAAAGCAAGTAAAAAAATAGCCTTGGGTTGAGACAGACGGAGGCATCCGCAGCCCAGCGAGATCCTTTTTCTTTCCTTTCCTATCAGCGAGTTCCGATCCTTTTGTTCGAAATTTCTTCTTAAAATCTTTACTGAACTATGACCGGCCACCATGCTGCTATAATTTGTTACCCCCGTCGCGTCGCTCGTTTTAGATGGCATATACAAGTTACCGAATTCGCCCCAACCTCGAATTCGGATTTTCGAAGGACGCGACCCCCAACCCACGGGGGGAGCACAACCGAGTAACCACGGTGGGGTCTTCGACTGGGGTGAAGTCGTAACAAGGTAGTCGTAGGGGAACTTCTTAATGCATTTCTCGTTCGTACCTGTGTTCTTCCATGAAAGGTTCCGCTCTTCCGTACATGAGTAAGAAAACTGCTCTGGAAGACATTTTGTAAATCAACTTTATGGTTCCTCGTAAACATCCCCCCGAGGGGGTTTTGGGGGAAAACGTTCCTTTCCTGTCTCCTTCGATAAAGAAGGTTTCCATGTGACCGGAGGTGAGAAGATATGGGCTAGAAAAGAGTTCGAATGGATCATGCATGTACGTGGAGGAAGAAGGCTACGGTTGCGTGAGGAAATTCAGAAAGGATCTCGGGTATACTGACCGCTTAGTTTTATGGAAAATGGCAGTTCTTGTTGATTCTCGGCCCACCCTTTCTTTGAACCTTGTCAATGATCGAACTTAAAAAGATCTATTCGTTCTTTTTTCTCTGGCAGATGGTCAGAACTTCATCTGGGTGGGTCGAATCCAATAAGTAAAGGTCATGATCGAGTTAAGCTTGCGCTTACGTTTTACAGGCTATGGAATCGCCAGGGACTCTAGTAAAATAGTGGCGGGGATATTAATAATAGCAACGGGGCAACCTTAGAAAGGGTGTATTAAGACTTTTAACCAGTTAAAAGGCAGAAATTCAAAGATATTGCGTGACCCTAGCCTCCTTCCCCTACCTTTTTTTTGGAGTCCGAGGAAGCGGTTTGGGTCACATATCGAGTAGCCGGCTCCTCACCATCCTTCACTCCCTGGGGGACAGAGCGGCGAGTAAGGGGCCATGAAGACAACCCGCCGCAGGAACTTGCTTTGCTCTCGCTCCGCTTGTTCCCACCAGCCTTCTTCCCGTATAGGGAGTCTTCTTTCCAAAAGTCAGATATAGAAGTTCCGCTTTCTCCTTTAGATGCTGTCTTAATACTCTATAAATCTTCAATAAAGTCAAAAGAATAGTCTGGGTTCACACCGGTTAACCCGCGTAGATGGCTGGTTTAGTCATTTTTTTTTTCTAACTTGCGAAGGTGTTCAAGCTTGTAGGAGGGTCACTACGCCTCCGTCTTGAACACGTTCACGACAGTAGTTCGCTTGGAAAGTCGTTTTTCGTAAGCAGGAGCGTAGCGCTTCGCGGGTAAAGGGGCAGGATTAGCTTCTTCCCTGAGTGGAGTAGGCGGCGAGTAGAGTGCATAAGTTTTAGAGTTACCGGGACGCAGGCTCCCGAAGAGGGAAGCCCAACGAATGTCAGATGCAAAGCCCCGGCTAGTTTCGGAGATAAAGTACGTCCGGTTTCATGTACGATTTCTTCTAACAGCTATCAAGGCGTGCCCTGACAAAAAGATTATAGGGGCAAGGTTGAGATGGTACAGCGTGAGCGGGCGCGGAGAAGAAAAGGCCAAACACTTCGGCCGCGGTCTTCTTAAGCCTATGTCTTGTGCTCCCCCCGAAGCCCCCCTTGGGGGGGAAGGAACTGCAATAAGGCTGCCGGCAAAGGCCAACCGAGAGGGGAGAACGAATGGCTCAAGAATCGACTGGTTCCGTTTTGGAACCAATACAGATAAGTATTTATGATCTTCCTAATCAGAAGAAGAAGAGGCGTCGGGTTACTCAAATGTTTGATGCTTCTTGGGGCTTCTTTGGCGACCGTGAAGTCACCGGATGAATTGCCGCATCTTCTGGCCACACTTCCTCTGGCATTACGACCTTTCACCTTAAAGGTACGTAGTCTCTTATTAAAAGCTTTTGGCTGGTCTATCGCTATGAGCTTGCTGCTTTTCATTTTGTTAGGAGTAGGTGCTTGCTGCTCGCTGACAGAAGGAGCACCTGGTTCAGCACGAACTAAAGGCAGCCGAGTTCTTCCTTTCCTCATGACCAAGACTGACCCTTATAATCCACTCCATATAATGTATTTTTCGGGAGCTAGAGGGTAAAGGGCTTACTTTACCTAGCCCAACCAAAAAATTCTCAACGACCCATTCTAAGAAACCAATGAATCGTTAAATGTTGTTTTATCAGTAATAATCTCGCGGAGGTACCAGGGAAGTACTCCAGCCTCGAGAGGGCGCCTTTGCCCGGGCAATATGCGGAAACCGATGGAGACAGGAAAGGAACGTTTCCCCCAAAACCCCCTCGGGGGGATGTTTACGAGGAACCATCTCCTTCCTAATCTTAGATGGGTCGTCTTAGGGTTCGCCGCTTGCGCTAGAGTCAGTCATTCCCCCTTTCCCACGGAGCTTGGATACGGTTTCCCGATCGGAGATCCATGGATCACAGACGGCCGTTTTCTATTGCTATAAGGGCTGCTCGCCTTTATACGGCTTGGCTTCGCTATCGCTCGTCTCCCAAACTTCCTTTCTCAAGGTTCCAACAACATAATCAGAAGGCGGAAAGTCTGAAAACAACATCTGCCACAGACACAAGGATGTCAACGAGAACTTATAATCGGGGACCGACAAACTGGAAAAACTGCTATTGCTATCGATACCATATTAAACCATAGTTTGTTTTCAAAAGTAGTTTCCGAGGTAGGTTCACCATAGTGCCCGGTTTGTCTTGATTTCCGATTGATGGGCCGACGTCTAAGCGGCACGAATAGGCCGACATGAAACGAGTTCCCCGCGGAATTGCCCGGGCAATATGCGGAAACCGACTCGACCATCCGAACAATTCTCATTGCCTTGCTTCCCGCTACGACACCGGATAGCAGGAAGTTCTCCAAAAGTGTGAAAAGCTGGAGGACTTTGTACCATCCGAGAATTCGATCATTTAATTTATGGATGGTTTGATTTCTCGTATAAAAATTGTAGATCCTTCTTGTGGACAGGAAAAGATGGGATCTCTAAGAGAGCTTTGGTTTCTTAGAGAAACCAGCCTGACCAGTCCAGAGAAAGATCGCCGGCGGTCCAACAAAGAGGCAAAGTAGTGGTCTTTGTCTTTCATTGCAGCAAAGCCGTTTCATGAGCGGGGGGGCTAAGTCAATCCCTCCCCTACGACACCAAAAAACCAGGCCGAATAAGAGCCCGCCCGCTTCCCATCCCTAGGACCTGTAGAACAAGAAAGCTTCGACACAGGAGATTAGGACAGAGAGGTTAGCGGTAGGGGTCTTTCCTCAAGCTTCGCACAAGCATTATTCACACACACTTTTCGATGACTTATCGGCTGCCTTGCTTGAGGAATAGTTTCACAAAAATGGAGACGGGCTCGTGAAATCCAATGAGAAGAGGCTCATAAAATAATCCTTCCTCGACTTATTGAGACAGAACGAACTCCCAACTTAGGAGCAAAAAGATTTGGGACCAATAGGTTTGCCGTTACCAGAATTCGCGCAAGTGTGTCCACACCCTCCAAACTTACTTGACGAGGCAATAGTCGAATCAATGGAAACCTCCTTCTTCAACCAATGTGAGTTTGACACGCTCTATAGGTTATAGACACTAATCTGGGAGCTAGAGGGGGCCCTCGATAGGGCGCCCGAGCGTACCCTGCATAAGCAAGTAAGTTTAAATGGTGGAACTTTACGGTTGTGTCAGTTCGACTGGATCATGCCGGAACTCCGAGTGCGTACGTGAACATGTTCAAGACCGCAGAGCCTATCCAAAGGTTCAGGCCGGATTGTAGGAAGTGGGCAATATGTTTTTGTGGCCGGGTAGCTATCCATGACTTGTTGAGCGCCCCTTCCTCCTTCCTTCAGGACTGCCAACCCAACCGGGGATTTCGGACAAGTCTTTCTTCATTTTTGAGCAAGAAGCGGAACTACAAGAAAGCTTTCTTTCTCGTTCTTCCGTTCATAGGTCCCAAGCTCTTTTTTGAAAGCCCTCCCCCCTCTCCTTAATAAGTTAGGCATCCTCCTCGGGCTCGGGAAATTAGAGGCAATATGCGGTTCCCTCCGGTCCGTTCCCGGGTTGGGTTAGGGGAACATCTATAGCACCGTCTTCCTTCTCTTCTTCCCGAGAACCTGAAACGGATTCGTGAACAACTGCAAGTCGTATCTTGTTGGGTGAGACTGAGAGAAAGAAAGGACAGAGGGAAGGACGCGACCCCCAACCCACGGGGGGAGCACAACCGAGTAGCGGCTCGTGGTACCTCCTGCTCACCCTTCCTCCTCCGCTTTGAGAACCGTGTGATGTCCTAACCACTGAACGAAAGGGACCAAAAAGCCATTCTTCATATACCTCAGCTCCGATAATAGAAGTGGTTCGTTTTGTTTCTATACGCAATTAAAGATTTTGTTTGTGTTCAGAGGACAGTCTTTAGAAGCAACAGGCTGGGAAAGCAAGAGAAGGCTCGGAGCAGCCAGTCAGAATCCATATGGATATGAAACCCCCAGAGTCAGGTAACGGCGGGGGCAGATTAGCTACAAGAAAAGGAATTCCCCTTGCCTTTTTTCCTCGGGGATCGAAAAGGCGGCGGTCACCGCCGGCGGGTGCACAAGAACCGAATTCCTCAGATTTTGGTTGAAATAACCAGGCTGCAACAAAGTTAGTTTTAAGGAAAATGTAGCCCCCGGTTAGAGCGCTGAACATCTTTTCTTAATGTATTAAAGAGGGCCTCATCCTGCACCAGAGGGGATAAGGTCCCCGCCCTCTTGCATTGGAAGCTTTCCTTTGTCTATCAATGGAGGCCCTTCGGTCGAAGACTTCCAGGCTCTATATATAACTCTTGGTCCGCATTTCGGATTGGTATGCCTTGCGAACACTTTCTTTTTTAGTCTTTCATCTTCTCTAGAGAAGCGAAACTTCCTAGCAAGGCTCTAATTGCCCAATTCTCACAATTCTCTTTTGTAAGTCTAGGAAATTGATTCATTCTTTTCGGCGACATCCTTCCGCATTGGTGGCGAGTGGAGTGCCACAATCTTCAGCCTACCAGATTTATGAGATATCTTTTTTTTTTTCAAACGAATTGAAATGATTGAAGTTTTTCTATTTGGAATCATCTTAGGTAGGTGGTCTGGGATGGGTTCGACCCATCTGTTCCAATTAATCTGGGTTCACGATTGCACTCGGAGTTCCGGAACAGGTGGGTCGAACCCACCCCAAGCTCGTAAGCTCTCCTGAAACTCGGTTGTTATACTGAGTCCTCCGTCCCAGATTCTATCGCCGCGGCCCCCCGCGCTTCGGGGATGCCCTCAGCGCCGAGGAACATGTACTAGGAAGAGGCCCCGACACGGGCCCGAAACTCCATTTCCGGAAGATTTCGCCTGCTCTCCAAGGGCCTGAGCCCTAAAGGGGGAAATTAGCCATCGCTTCCTTAGCTCTCCTCGCCCATCTTTGGCTGCCTGTGAGGAGGTTTATGTTGGACCTCTGCCATGTCTGCTTCTGACGATATATGGGTTTGCGGTGCATTGCCCCCCGAAATAAAGATGTCGGGGGAGTGCCTAGCGCCCAAAAGAGCAAAGCTCATTTTCCTTTCAGGGTAAAGCGGCACGTCAAAAATAACTGGCCCGTCAAAAGTTCGGAATGAGAAAGCAGTCTTAGAGAAGAAGGCTTTCCCACGAAGAGAGATTTCTGTTTTTCCCGGTCGAGCTCGTACTGCTCGCGGGCTTCGGGAGGAAATTTGGGGCCTTCTATGATCCATTCTACCAGCCTGAAAGATGAGAGATAGGCTTGACGCAAGGAGATTTCGCACGGAAAGGCGGATTCATATTCATATTAAAGATATGCCCGAATCGAAAAAAAGACCAGGGGTGACGCATCCCGCGCATATTCTACATTATAGCCTGCAACTAATTCAGCCGATGGAAAAACTTTGCCGGAACGTCAACCGCAAACGAAGGATGGCCAGGCCCCGGCTCTCGGGGTCAGTATGCACCCCTAATATAGCAGTTCTTCTTTCAACCTTCATTCTGTTAACGCTAACCCACGACAGCTGACGGCGGATTGAGGGCGGAAACTATGATTAAAATTTGGCGCTTGAGTGGGGTCTGGGGCTTTGAGCTTTCACGTGTTTCAGCTCTTGTTCACAATCCAGCTGCTATTGAATCAGCGTAAGGAGATGCCGATGAGGGTACAATACAGTTCCAGCCTTAACCGAGGAAAGTTCGAAAAGTCATTTAGGTCCGATTCGGATCCCTCTGTTGTTTCCTTTTCCTCCCGCACCTTTTCTTCGAAATGAGAAAGAAGATGGTACACTCGCGAAAGCTGCAGCTTCGTATCGACCGGGGATGGGAGAAAGAATTGATTGAATGCGGGCAAACAAATACAATTAAGGCTGTAATAGGCAAAGTTATAACTAAAAAGAAACGGAAAGTATTATAGCTCTTAAAATGAATATTATAACAAGTGTCTTCCAAAAGACATTGACTTAGATACAAAATATAGAGATACCCTTCTCTAACCATCCAAAACGACTTGCACATTTATTCCCACACTTGAAACTTAAGTAAAAATCTTTCACATTATCGAGGATCAAGCTCGGATATGGAGACCTCGTTCGCAGAGTGAACAAGCACTTTAGGTCTACGAGTTGAGTTTAATTGCTCGAATTTCTCATCCTTGTCCAGGAGAAAAGCAGGATGTGAAGGCACAGGTGGAGCAATGGTGTTGTTATTTAGCATAAGGACAATCGACGACATGGTTGGTCTATGAGCTATATTCTCTTGAACACATAGCAACCCGATGTTGATGCATCTCAATACTTCAGCAGTATTGTCAGTCGTCATTGATGAATCTGCTATGTTTAACGGGGTACCTTCTAGCCAATTTCTCCATGCCTGAAAAAGTGTACAAGAAATCGATCTAAGTAGCTGTAATAATCATACGACGTTCAAAAACATTGGTATTTTGTATATAATTTAATTATTGTTAATACAATACTTACAAAACTAAGAAGAGTGTCTCCAGTCTCTGAATTGTGACAGCTGCTTATTCTTAG